CGCAACCAATGCCCCTTCTCTTGGCAATTAAAACAAACAGACTCTTTCGGAATAGCACACGAGACAATCTCAGACTTAGCCTTTCTCTTTACCAGGTGGTCAAACGGTTTGACATTGGCCGATCCCTTTCCATGGAAGTTTGGGAGATTGATCTACCAGACGAATTTGCTTGACCAGTACGCCAAATCATTGTTAATTCAGCAGCAATTAGCAAATAGGTAAGATCGATAAGGGTCACGTTGTGGTCTTTCATATAGTAATCATTAATGAACTCACTATATGACTTAGGAAGTGATTGAAGAACCAAGTCAACAGCCAGCTTCCTGGAGATAACGACACCCAACATCCCTAGCTTGTCAATATGCAACTTCATCTCCAAGACGTGAGCGCATACAGACTTTCCATCTTCGTGTTTGCTTGTCAATAGGGCTTGAATGACCTTGAACTTTTCAAGTCTTCGAACACATGGGTTAGGAAGAATTATTGGAGGAGGTGGAGGAAGTGAAGTATGATTTCCATTTCCACGATCCAATCGTGGAACATCATCTACATGGGGAAAGCTTTTTCCAAAAGATTCGGGAAGACCATAGTTGTTAGAATTTGACATGTACAAAAGGGAGAAATTCAAGTTAGTTGATTTAAGTCCTTAATATAACACCCAAATGAAATATTAAGGCTAGGAACCAACACAATATTCCACAATTCGGAATAGGGATGCCGTAATCCAATTGTAAAATATTTGAAGGTAGGTAAATGACGATTTACCAATTTCCACCATGAAAAATGAAAAAGAACATTAGGTTTTAAATGAATTGAAATTCCTAGATCTTTTGAGATTCATTGAACTTTTCAATGGTATGTTTAATCTCGATTATGCCCTTCAAGTTTGTGACTGGGATGCCGAGGATCACAAACAAGGTGTGAATAACCATGCAAATTAGCTTGGTACTCTTGAAGACGTTTATCACCCAATCAATGTGCCGGTTAACCATACACGCTCCATTGATCTATGATAATCTACGAGCTACCCATTGCCATCCTTCATTAGTCCCATATTAGTGCGCCAGTTAACCACACACGCTGCTAGGGTTTTAGGTGGAAACTGTAATTCTCTGCTTAGGCCTTATGTAACCCATGGAACCCTTCTAGAAGGCCCTTTGGACGAAATCTATATGGGCTTCCCATAGATTTCGTCCATCCCTTCTTTTAGGAGTCCATAGCCCAACTAGCAACTAACAATTAACTGCAATATCAGTCCCCTTAATTTAATAAGTCTCTTTTGACCATCAAATTAATTCCAAATTAATTTCCAATCATTACTAATTGAATAATATGATTTCCAAATAATATAATAATCTTGTAATATATTAATAAAACCATTTCGAGTACTAATTTATTATTCAAATAATAAATCCTACTCTCTCTCCTCTTGTCATCCTATCAAGTTGCATGAGTGAAGGCAACCCAAAATGACCATGCTCATAATCAAATCAAGTACATATCAAAAATAATTATGGGCTTAGACACCTAATCCAACAAAATCAACACTACTGGCAGTGACATCAGACATTTTGAGTTGATTTAAACATATAGTTCTCCTAAATTATGGTTGGTCCTAATCAATCTCTGAGAGTAAGAATCAAGAACACAACAAACAGAATCGGAAAAGAAAACCCAATAACCAGATTTACACAATTGACTAACTGAGCCAAGACTTAAAGCAAGTGTGGGAATATAATAAACATCATTAAGAGATACATAAGGAGTGACAACCGAACCAACACCATTTCTAGGAATAGGTGAAGAGCTGGCTGACAAGACTAAAATGGACGATCCATAAGATAAAGACACAAAGGATGACAAGTAAAGTGGCATATAATAAGATGCAATAGAGTCCAAGATCCATAAAGATGAAGGAGTACTTGTAGTACTGGATGAGGAAAGACTTGAATGAGATGCAGATGCAACCATAGTTGCATAATTGAGAGCAAGGAACTGCCTGAACTACTTAAGAACTTGAGCATCCAACGCAGAAGATGACGTAGTGGTAGCTTGAACATTAGTTTCTATTGTAGGGTGAAACAATGACTGAAACATTCCAAATGATCTACCGTGTTGTTGTTTTGCCTTGTTCAAAAACAATGAGAACTGAAACTTCTAATGGTTCTTCTGTGTGTAGTAAGCACATTCATCAAAATTAACTTTTCGAACTGGTCTATCATTTGCATCCATATTAACATTAAACAATCAAGCAATAACCCCAAACCAACAACAAACGACCAAATCAAACCGTCGAAAGCAATAATGAACAACAACAGTCAAACTGAATACCAAAACTTCAAAATCGACAAATATCAGCAGTAACAACCGAACTAAATTTCTAACAATAACCAAAACGAAAAAAACTTTCTGTTTAAAAATTGCGGCTTGAAAATAACGGCACGACGAGATAGCGACGAAACGGTGCTCTGATCTTAAATCGCGGGCTGAAAATAAAATCCCAATAAGATATCGAATAAAAGGTTAATTTTGCAGCGGCAAAACTTAAATCACAGCTCAAAAAAGTCGAAAAACCACAAAATCAAACGAATACCAACAATAATTGGTACTCTCGAACAATTTTTACAAAACAAAACAAACCAAATACATAAGTAGATTAGAAAGACATACCAAATTCGTCAAAATTTTCGAAACGCGGAATGCTGCAACTTTATGTACAACTCACTTCCAACAATCATAAACGACATACCGAATATGGCTCTGATACCATGTAAATACTGAACAAAATATTGCGAGAATTTCATTATTGAATCATAAAAAGAGTACAATTACAAAAGAAAAAGAAAAACAATATAAATAGAAAATCTAAAAGGTCAAACCTACGTATAAGGCTAAAGGGCCAAAGATAGCCCAAATCAGAGAAAGACTAATAACTTTATAATACTAAGTAATGAACATTTTTAGAGCATCCACAATGGTGAGTTCAATGAGATGGTTGAATGAGGTGGCAAGTCTAGTTGTTATTCAATAGATAAAATTCTACCATAGTGAGATGTCATCTTCTCATTCAATGGATTTGGAGTTCAATGGCAATTGAACTCTTCAATGGGAAAAATGAAAGTTTTTTAATCTTAATTACATACTATAAATTAGCTTTTGTAAGTTTCTATTAAACTTTATAAAATTCAATATGCATTGTAGGAAAAATATTGATGGATAGCAATAAGATATCGACGAAAAGGTTAATTTTGTGGTGGCAAAACCTAAATCGCGGCTCAAAAAAAGTCGAAAAACCACAAAATCAAACGAATACCAACAATAATTGGAACTCTCGAACAATTCTGACAAAACAAAACAAACCAAGTACATAAGTAGATCAGAAAGACATACCAAATTCATCAAATTTTTCAAAACGCGGAATGCCGCTACTTTACGTACAACTCGCTTCCAACAATCATAAACGACATACTGAATACGACTCTGATACCATGTAATTAATGAACAAAATATTGCTAGAATTTCATTATTGAATCATAAAAAAGAGTACCATTACAAAAGAAAAAGAAAAATAATATAAATAGAAAATTTGAAACGTCAAACCTAGGTATAAGGTTAAAGGGCCAAAGATGGCCCAAATCAGAAAATCACTAATAACTTTATAATACTAATTAATGAACATTCTTAGAGCATCAATAATGGTGAGTTCAATGAGACGGTTGAATGATGTGATAAGTCTAGTTGTTATTCAATAGATAAACTCTATCATAGTGAGATGTCATCTTGTCATTCAATAGATTTGAAGTTCAATGACACTTGAACTCTTCAATGGGGAAAAGAAAAGTTTTCTAATCTTAATTACATACTATAAATTAGCTTTTTTGTAAGTTTCTATTAAACTTTATAGAGTTCAATATACATTGTAGGAAAAATATTGATGGAGTTGTATGGAATGTAGAACATGACGTGACAATCCATTGAGCTCTATAAAATTCAATGCATTGTCGATGGCCTTAGTTTTAATCGATTTTCTTATCCGTCATACAAGCCAATGGCGGTTTTTATAACCTTGCGTTCCAAGTTCATGCATTTTTTTTTCTTTATCTAATAGGCAATAAGGCAATAACAACCATATAATACATAATACATATGCATCTTTTTTTCTTAAGCCCACAACACGTAATACCCTGCTAAATGTGTTTTTTAATAGTTAAGTTCACTTTTTGGGTTATGTGGTGTCGCCAAATGGACTTGGTGCTGACCCAGTAAAGTTGTTGTCGAACACCGGCCACACCTTACTTCTATTACTGAAGAACATAGGTCAAATCGATCACACCACGTAAATTCATTGGCTGGCTTTTTCTTTGCTTGTTTTCTTGCTTCCATAACAATTGGCAATAAAAATATTAATCATTCACATATCATATATAGATTCGCAACCGATACAAACTAAGACATAACAATCGTACATCTTGAAATGAATGTTACAGTTAGTGCTTTGGATTTTGATAGTAAATCTTTAGCTTTTCTGGCTTGAAGAGATTCTTAGAAGTATACGTTGAGTTATAAACATCCCCCAGAAGATCATACTGAAGTCTAGCATATAAAATAACCGGTATGGAAGCAATTGCACTGATAACAATAGGTATCCATATCATGTTTTGATAAAGGACGAAAAAACTAACACTAAAAGCGACCATCATGGCTGCGATAGAAAAGAAGAGTGTTGTAAGGCCTCTCATCAGCCTTTTGGGTAATAATTCCAAGAAATCATCTTCAGCATAGCGAGATGTGAGGATAGATAAAAATATTAGGAGTGAAACGGACGAGAATGTCAAAGAAATGGCATCCGATATGACAAATACTATGAAAGATCTTTTATGAAAGAACATAGGAACACCATTAGTTTGATTATAACCACCAGGAACTGTAAACGCTGCTGCAAAAACAATGGTAGCTATAAGAGCTGCCACCACCATACTTTGACTAGCTGTCTCTTTCATCTACTTTTCACCTGAAGCAAGTAGGTCTTTGTGCTCCTTGCTGAATAGTTCATGTGGTGTTAAACCATCATTGTTCTTCCTTTCTCGATATGAAGGAGGAATCATACCTTCTACTTCCTACGTAAACAAAAGAAAGGTTAAATATTTGTCCATTTTGAAACGTTCTATTTTAAAACAATTTTAGCTATTCTTGGATGATAGAGTAGAAGCAACTTAAGTAATAACTTCTAGTTGTATGAAAGACGAAAGTACAGAGATGTAAAGAGAGAGCTAATGTCTTAGAGAGAAAGAAATACCTTGAACCACAACAACTCCCGTTGCATTTGCAAAGCAACCCCTGAAATTACTTGAAGTCTCTTTTTCTTCGCACACTTCCCAACTAAATGTAACATATTATTTCCTTTCCGATCCTTCATAGGTGTTATCATATCTTTCATCGAGCCAATCTCATGTAGAAGATTGTAGATACCCTCATGACGATGTGAGATAGCAACATGAAATATAGTTTGCTCGTTGTCATTTGTCTTCCATATTAAATCTGGATATTGCCGAATGAGCTCCACTAGAAATTCAGTGTTTCCCATCTCTGCAGCGACAAATAGTACACGTGAAGAGAATGTTTGATTTACACCTTTTACTTCTTGATCACCTTGCCTTCTACTCCATAGGTTATGAATTCTTGTGGGCATCTTCGCAACATTTTCCAAGATGGACCCAAGAAGTTGCTCGACATCTTCCTTTTCCTTTCCACTATTTGTTGGTAGGTCAGCTGGCCCTCTGATAATACCACTGATTTCATCCTTGGATAATTTCACAATTTCTGACCAAATAATTTTTAGTAATTCCATGGCATCAGTTGCTTTTTCAGAAGGCCCAACCTTCACATGAATCAACGCCAAAACTGAAACCCACAACCAAATAAGAAATCAAATAGATGGATAAAAATGAGTTGATAAGCAAAATATAAGAGTAGAGATTTTCACTTGGACATATGATTCGCCAGATAAAATGCGGTTTTATCCCCTTAAATGCGTCAGGTTTTCGAGCCAAAACTCCAAGTAAAATCCCACTTTTTGCTAGCAATGGCCATCGGGACACTATTTTCAATGCAATATCTACATAATTTGTTTTAACATTTAATCAGGGAAAGTATTACATCAAACGCAACAAATATCATACAACTTTTTTTTAACAGAAGCACATATGAAAACATTTATAGAACAACAAGAAAGGAGCAACAACTACATACCATATTGATCAGCTTCCACGCATTTCTGTAGAACCCAACTGCGATTCTTATCTGTCCAACAATCTCCATGCATCTCCCTAGATTTATCATAAAGATAATTCACCATTTCATGTTTTCCAAATAAAGATGCCATATAGAGTGGCATCATTCCATTACTGCCTGGGATATCCCCAAGGGTCCCGTTCTTTTGCAACATAGTCATAACAGTTTTGACATTTCCACCGGCTGCTGCTAAACAAAATGCCGTATTGTCATTATCATTCTTGAGTTCTAACTGTTCCTTTGTCATCTTGTCCACTAGATTTACAAACTTTTCTATCTGTTTGCTGCTTTTCGCAGATGCTGCAATGTGAAGTGCAGTATCATAGTTTTCGCTTATAGCATATCCTACCAAATCTAGATCTTGGTGTTTGTTAAGGATGTCTCGAGCAGCTTCCCAATCACCTTTGATTGATGCATTATAGAGAGGAACGCAAATGCTTAGGTACTGCGCTCTATTACCTATTAAGTAATAATCAAAAGATTAATAATGATAAGTAAACAGATAATGGCATCATGCTCAATATAAAAGTTTACCAAGTAGATCTCGAATAGGTAGGTTCCGAATTATTGTTTTTGTTCTTGATGGTTGTGGTCGTGGTGTTGCAACTCCTTGGGCCGTTGTGCTTGTGGGTTTCATTTCTAGGAGTCCTTAATTACTTCACCTGCATACTCACATATTAGTAATATGAAGCGAAAATGGACACCATGAAGATAGCACTTGGTGTGGTTGAAACTAATTCAAATCATAATTAAGAGGAATTTGCACTTACAGCGTCCTTACGAATGTCTCTGAATTAATGCACAGTAGGAATGAGGAAGACATGGATTTATATATGCAGATCTTGATGTACTTAGTCGGTAACTCATAGTCAACGCTTAAAAAAAATAGAGCCTATCTCAATAGATCTGAAATAGAGGTATAATGTTAGGTATATAATTTGAAAGCTGTCAAGTTAGTGGGAAAACATAAATGAAGTGTCGACGTTTCCATATATCCTCTGTAATACTATAATTTAAAGTTTCCATAATAATAAAATAAATATTGAAAGTTGCATAATTAAGTTTTTTCATATAGTTTGAACGACATAGCTAAAACAATAATAAAAAAATTGTTATTACCAAATTACATTAACAAAAGATATTACCTAAATAATCCTTTTGCAGAACTATTTAAAATCCACATGCTCAAAATAAAAATAAAAGTAAGTGGTAATTATTGTTTTTCTTAATCTGTATGAATCTTGTCTCTGAACAACAATTTTGGGACGGAGGGAGTAATAAAAATGAAAGCGAAATAGATGGTGTTAAGTTCATAAAATCTTAAAATCATACAAGCCAAAAATGATATCAATCATACTTAGATTTATCTTAAAGATTGTATTGGGATTTTAGGATCCCAATTAAGATTTTAAAGTTTTATCCTCATCTCATCCTACCTCTTTAGTATTTATTAATTATTATATTATAGAGCCTCAAAATTTATCCATTTAAATTGAAATCGTTCATCGCAGGTTGCAAGAAGTGTTATAGAACATCATCATTTCATCCATTTATCTCAAATTAAAAGGAGCAGAGTCAGCAATTGGCTGTCAGATTTCGTCCCGCAACTAGAATAAGATCGCTTCGGGGGTCACTGTGATGTGGCTGAATGTAGAGCAGCCCGCCCTTACAGCCTTTGATCAGTAGATTATTTAGAACTTCGGAAGATGGTCAAGGTAGCTTGCTTCCAAGCCACTGCACTAAATGCGCATGTAGTCATATTGTCGGCCCACAATGCCTCTGTTCTGTCATGACACTCATATTTCTGCTTAAAATGTTTCTTTCTAAATATTATGATTTAAAACAAGGGGAATCATTATAAACACTTAAGAAGTTAAAATGAATTCTGTTATTGATGTCTTAATCAACATCTATTTAAAATGGGATACCTCACAAAAAAAGACTTTAAACAAATTTAGAGATTAGTTTATTTTAGTAAAAAAATTCGATTTCAATTTGATCTAATCTTATTATGACAATCTTGCAAAAATGTAAAACACTATTTAAAATGGGATACCTCACAAAAAAAGACTTTAAACAAATTTAGAGATTAGTTTATTTTAGTAAAAAAATTCGATTTCAATTTGATCTAATCTTATTATGACAATCTTGCAAAAATGTAAAACGATCTTAGCTAAAATCTCGTTCATGAAAATCTTTATTAAAGTTATTAGAAATTCTTTATTATACTTTATAGACAGTTACTAAATTTTATTTTTATTATATATATATATATATATATATATATATATATATATATATATATATATATATATATATATATATATATATATATATATATATATATATATATATTAGGGGTGTGCATAAAACCGCACAAACCGCCCGCACCACACCGCACCACACCGCATAATGCGGTTTTTAACGTTCGCGGTGCGGTTTATGGTTTGCAATTTTTGTAACAGCAATATGCGGTGCGGTTTGCAGTTTATAGTTATAAAACCACGGTTCAAACCGCACCGCACCAAATTTTATTATATATATATATATATATATATATATATATATATATATATATATATATATATATATATATATATATATATCTCTGACCGTTTAATGGATGATACCATGCACATTTACAACCATTTCTACAACCTTTCATACTGCCATCATATAACTTTTTCGCAAGTTTTTATATATTTTTAAATGTAGTTAAAATGTATCCTTCTTTGGAAGCATTCAGAATTATATCATTAATAATAATTAACAACCAATCAAAATTTAAATCTTTTTTATGAACCATTCAGAATTTAATCAATAATATATATGATCGATCAAAATTTTATACAACATGATTTTGTTTGTATACACAACAACTAATATTTGATCGATTACTTTTTGAATTATCAAACCACACTCAAACCGCTCGTACCACACCAAACCGCACCACGCCGCATAATGCGGTTTCCAACCTTCGCGGTGCGGTTTGCGGTTTAAGAAAATCTCAAACCGCACATGCGGTGCGGTCTGCGGTTTTGACGCTAAACCGCACCAGACCGCACCGCGTACACCCATATATATATATATATATATATATATATATATATATATATATATATATAGATATATATATATATATATATATATATATATATATACACACACGACGGGACTTAAACTCCCGACTTCAATATAAAAAAACCCCTAATACCGTTGAGCTAAAACTCTTAATAACCAAAGAAATTTGCTAGCAGGCGAAAGAATTTTGTTATACTACAAAACGCCCCCAAATTGTGTTGTTATCAACATAAGACAAGTTCTTCACATTCAGCAATCGACTTTCGAATGCATTTACTTTCCTTGCTAACCGACAAGACATGTGAACGTTACTCTGTGGCATTACTTGCATATGATATCAGCAAGTATTCTTAACCTGACATCATCACCTTTATTCACATTAATAAATAATATTGGTATCCATTTTCTATTCAACACATAAAAGGGTTTTCCGTAGGACCATAAATTGCCGTCAACTCTAGATCATTGATTTTTTATCTACTTTCGGCATCCTTTAACTTTTTTGACATATAGTTGATCACCTTTTTTGAATAAATCAAGTCTTTGTGTCAAAGCATCGTTATAGATTACAAAGTTTTTCATTCTTTTTGTTGTAAGATGATCTAAAAAACAAGAAGTGAGAGAGAAGATGATGAATTTTATGTTTCTTCTTATTAATTTAGAAATGAAAAGAGACTACATGAATATATACAACGCAGACTTCAGCCAATGAATCTAACAAATTCTAAACTAACTTCTACTTTGAAAAAAATAAAAATATCCTTATAGCTAGTAACTACCAAAACGACTAAGTAACCGCAATTATCCCCCCCCCCCCCCCCCCCCCCTAATCTTGAGGGTATGAAATTAAGCATAGATTGGAAATAGCATGTGAATGTTGGCTTCCAAATGACGATTTTGTAAAAATGTATGTTTTCTAGTATATTAAGATATTAAACCATCTTGAAGCGTTTCTCGAACGAAGTTGTGGTTAAGCTCAATGTGCTTAGTATGCTCATGAAGAATATGGTTTCTTGCAATGTCTATAAACGCCATATTATCACACTTAAGCGGAATTGGAGTGATTTCTATAACATCAAGCTCTGCAATTAACCTACTCAACCATCTGCACACACTCTTCTCATTAAACAATATTTAGCTTCAGCTAATGAAATTGAAATTGTAGTATGTTTCTTTGATTTCCATGAAATATGATTACCACCAAAAGTAATGAAGAACCTACTAATAGATCTAACTCTCATTAGGCAAGCTGTGACATCCCCAAATTCACGGTAATTTTTAAAAATTTTATTTATGCTTATTTAAAAATCAGAATATTCATTTTAAAGAATAATATTGCGGAATTTGTTCCCAGAAAACATGATAAATATATTATCAAAACATTTCTGAAGAAAAGTAATTTGTTTATATTAAAACTTTGGGATGTCATCGTCAATACAGAAACATAAGCATAAACAGACCTTACATTCATCTACACTGGTGATTTACATCTCCTTTAATCTCTCAGTGTAATGTGTCTTCGTATCGATACCTGTGATACAAATAAACTGAGTAGGTCAGGTTAGGAAACCTGGTGAGTACATAGAGTTTTCAACCCACAATAATAAAGTTATTATGTTTCATCATCAAACAATTAACCCAATTACTCATCCCCAATATCTTCTTTATTGTCAAAGATCTACCCTAAGAATCATCTATTCTTCATTTATTTATTCTTAAGGTTTGTCCTAAGGAGTAGGCATGAAGTCCATCGCTGCCAATTGCACAGCTGCCAATGTTATCTATTAGGCACAACTGTCAATATTATCTTTTAGGCGCAACTGTCAGGATTATGATGTTCTCTATTAGGCGCAGCTGCCGATATTATCGTTTAGGAGCAGTTAGGATGCTTAGAGTACATCGTAGTTCAAAAACATCTATAGGTTGTGGCGTAGCTGCCAATGTTCATCTATATCATCTTTCATCTCTCATCATTTATCTACCCATCTTTACCCAATATTTTTATAGGTATAAAATACATATATAGTTTAAATCAAATAAAACATGTATATTCGGTTCATCCAGCATAGATACTAAGAATACAGATAATATACACACATAGCACGCAATTTATATTAAATACTTCATATCTATGTGTAAGATGAAAGTAACTATGCACTCACTTGTTAAAGTGATGATTCCAAACTCGGGCAGCGCTTCGCTTCTAACAATTCTATTTTCCTTCGACGAAACCTAGTATCATTACCGCTAGATTTTAGTCTAATATTTATAGAGACTATTTACGAACGATATTGTTTTATAAGTGTTAAACAATACTTTTCAACCACTATGTACAGACAGGGGTCAGACATGAAACACCGGAGGGCAGGACCATTTTGGCATTATAGCACTTTTGAAATCCAACAACAACCTATGCGGCCCTTCAAACCAGATTCCCCGTACCGCGAGTAGTGATGAATCCAAACTCAGGCAGCGCTTCGCTTCTAACAATTCTATTTTCCTTCTACGAAACCTAGTATCATTACCGCTAGATTTTATTCTAATATTTATAGAGACTATTTACGAACGATATTGTTTTATAAGTGTTAAACAATACTTTTCAACCACTATGTACAGACAGGGGTCAGACATGAAACACCGGAGGGCAGGACCATTTTGACATTATAGCACTTTTGAAATCCAACAACAACCTATGCGGCCCTTCAAACCAGATTCCCCGTACCGCGAGTAGTTAAAATATATTATAATAACACTTTGTATATTATATATATATATATATATATATA